ATTATTATTATTATTATTGGCATTTAAGTCATTTAAGGGTAGGCCAAGAAGGACAGTTTGTATAAGTTTTACCAAACAGTAGGTTTAGGCAAGAAATTGAGTTAGAAATTAGTTAATGCTTTTGAACACCATTACACACTGACCTTGATGCCATTTAGAAACTTTTTGGTTAGGGATCTGTTCAATAAACCTTTCAAAACTTTAAAATAAATAAACTAAAGACGATAATGGCAAGGTGCCATAACCTTGGCAGGATTCAACATCTAGAAAGTTTTGTTAAGGATATGCATTATGTAGCATAATGAGATTTGTCTCCGTTACTTACTTTGCTTGTTAGAAAGCCGTGACTTTTTGCAGTGGTAAGCAAGCTCCTGTTCACATTGTTCTGCATGGTTAATTGTAGCCTGGAGCTGTTCTAGGCTGGCAGCATATTTGAAAAACACACTGTGAGGGTTCTCCCGATTAGCAGTTTTGACTCTGGTTAACTCAGTGTTGTTGTGCTGTATAATTGTCCAAGTGGTGTCTTGCAAAACAAACAAAGAAGTACATTGTAAATCAGGCATACACTCAGCTGAAGTGAGCCAAGAGTTATGTGTAAATTCCAAATCCCATCTCATAGGAACAAAGAAGCGCATTGCCAATTTTTATCAACCCACAACCTCTGTACCTTCTGAGCTAGCCACTTCCTTCTTTCTCTCTCTCTCTCTTATTAATAAACATATATTGGGGCTATCATATCTAGCCTGCAAAAAGCCTGACAACCACTAGTTGGCTTCAGGCTTACAGTTTTCTGCATCTCTTTGCTGCCATTTTAGTCAGTGTCTGGATTTTTGCAGTCCAGAAATGGTAGCTGAAAATGATTTGAATGACACATGTGTCTTACACACAATGCTGCAGCTTAATGCATGATTATAACCATTGTGGAGAATACCAAATGTTCTTCAATTTGTCAGCAGAACCTTTAAAGGCAGACAACAAACCTATAAAAATGAAAGAAAAATGGGAAGTCAAATTACTTCTACCACTAACACTAATGCTAATGGAAATGGTGAGACTATTCAGAAAACGTTGGGAAACTATGGGATTGTTTTCTGCCCCTGCTTTCCCATGCAATCCAGGTCTCTACAGGATTATTCTCATGTTCCACTGAAAATTGCAATAGTGCTAGATATATGTAACTGAGGGTTAAATTGCTGGGGTCTTAGTGTTGTCCAAGTTTCCTTTCCTTTTTGTAGACATTTCATTACCAGACTAGGTAACATCATCAGTGCTTTGACATGGAGAAGTGGGGTTTGTTAGCTGTTTATATATCACATCTTCAGTTTCAACTGGGAAGCTGTAGACATTTTAGATCAAACCAGATCTAAGGATTCCTAGAAGCTTGGCACTCTGGTAAATTAATCCATATACATACAGAAATCTGACTTATGGACCATTCAAAAGGAACAAACAAAACAGCTCAGAGGACATCCTCACTTATCATACACCTATTAACCAGCACTCAGATAAGCAGGAACCGGCACCTAATCACACAATAAGAAAGCATATCAACAGGACAGCTGCATGCCAATCAAAGAACAAACCATAGCAATCAACACATCCTGCCTAAAACCACAGAAGTTGGGTCAGACAACTTGCTATTGGCACCTCGGTTTCCAGGATAACAGATGTACAGAAGAAAGAGTGCAAGGAGAAAAAAATACTGCATTTAAGAACATAACTTTTATAGAAGGGGAGGGTTCCATCTCTCTCTTCCTCCTCTTTCTTCCTATAGGGAAAGGTTCTTCTGGACCTTGTGGCAAATTTTGACACTATCAACCACACTGTGATTTTGAACATCTGGCATGGACCTTAGAGGCACATTCTTGCAGTGCTTCTGACAGACATACCTAGAAGGTTGTATTATGGGCTACAATTCAACAAACCTATGTTCCTAGAGGGAGTTTTCCATAGCCTAGGAGGTGCATAGAAGGCCTTCTCCCTCACACAAGCAGTGGGGGAATTTTCGGAAGGACATGTTTTAGTCTTCTAAGTGACTAGGCAGACAATCTCAGTTCATGTCAATGTTAAATAATGTAAAGGTCAAGATAAAACTCTGTAGGACATCCCAGAACAGTGATCTACAGAACAAAGTTAAAAAAAAAAATGGTCTAGTAATCATATTTGGACATAACCGATGGTGCATTTGATTCACCATTTTGAATCTTTCTAGCCATTAATATTTTTCAGTATTGTATTAATGACTCTGGGTGGCAGTCAACAATAAAAGCAAAGTATGAAAAACATTAATTTCATGTTGCTAAGTAAATCTCTGGAGTCACCAGGAGTCAAAACTGATTCAGAGACATCACACACAGTAAGACCATGTTATTGCCCTGTCTCAGTATGACACAAGGCTCTTCACCGGCTCCCTAGAACCCAGTTTAAACTGCTGGTATTTTTTTAAAAGATTAATATTTGGTAATTGGGTTCTCAACTAATGATATTGGATTGATTGGTAATTATTGTGTTTTTGCTTTGTTGTGTTTTGTACCACATCTTAGCAAAGGTGAATAATAAATGTAATTATTACCACCATTGTTATTCCAATGTCATTCATTCTATTCCTAGTTTTGTCCTCCTGCCCTGACCATCCAGAGTGGAACACTGTAGAACAAATTACACTACCATCATTCAGAAAACAATGACAAGAAAGGCTGCTTGCTAGTCAGGAATGCCACATTTAGAACCAGCTACTCAGCATGTTTTAGGATACATTATGTCCAATTTTATTTTTGTAGTAGTTGATCATTCTTTGTCCTTGCTGGGTTCCAGCCTGGTACCATCAACTGGGTCAGCCCATTTACCACAATTATTTATAGGTGTACTGTTTCTGAAGAAATTCAAAACAGTATCCTACAATTAAGTCTTTTAACTGTTCTTAAGAGGACACCTTGGCTTCAGCTTCTTTTGTTTATGAAAACTTAGGAATGTCTGGCAGCAAATGAGTATGATTAAAGACATGTAAATCAGCTGTAGCAAGAATATGTGATGAGGTGATTCATGTCAATAATAAACATTAATGCTTTATTTGGTTATCTGATTGGGTTAATGCTCTAAAGCTGCTATTTATATTCACGCAGCTTAGACAAAGCCCCACTCACCCCACAGAAGCCTTATTCTCATTTGGTATGTTTAGGTTTACTCTGTAAGTGAGCTCAGCTAAAGATAGCTGAGAAGGTGGCATAAAGCATGTTTAAACATTAAATTATTCTTTATATAAAGGTTAGACTCTTTTAAAGCATGTGGCTGAAAAGGGAGAAGATTTTAAAATTCTATCCACAACCAAAGTGGGGCAAAAGAACAATGCTTTCCATGCGGGGGTTGACATTGGATTTGAAGCTTTGGGCCTGAGGCTTGTGATATTGAAAGTGATCTCTCTGAATATGAGAGGATAGCAAGACCTCCCTTTCCAACTGCCTGAGAAGAAAAGCTATATGAATATCAATGACAAGGGAGCAGTGTAAAAAACTATGGGCATCTGTCTGCATTGCCCCTGGTGGGAAAAGGGAAGGAGGGCTGTGAGGAAACAGGAAGAAAACAAAACCTGAAGATTCATCCTGTCAGACTGCATTTCTTGATGGGAAACTGATCAATGGGATTTGCTTAACGTACTGAATAAGGAGTGACTGAAGAGAACAGTGGCAGCTGTTCCTAGATACACACAGATGACTCAAATTGCACTTCACTTCAGCAGACAGGGCTTCTGTTTGATCCTTGAAGTGTTTAAATTAAAAACCTTTCCTGCCTTTGATTTGACCAAAACTTAATGAGCAGTTGGGCCTCTATCTCCCTTTAAGAGGTATGCCAATAATCCCAATAGTTCATTACCAAGGTCCTTGAATGAATGGCTTTCAAGAGTAGCAAGTCATAAATGTGTTGCAGGACTCTGGTGAGCTGTATTTTTCTTGCCAGCAGCATTCCCTAACCAGGTCCTGTCTAGATTTGTTAAACTGTGTTTTTCAGAATTTCTACATCGCATAGGCTTCAACCTATCCTAGCTGGGAATGGTAACTTAAAACTTGCAGCTGGGCGCAGGATGGAAAAGGTTTCTATATGGATTGTACACTGTTTTACACCTAAGCATATGTGACCTGTGCTTAAAAAAAAAAAAAAAAAAGGCCAAGCAAAGCAAAGCATGGTCCACTGATTTAATCTGAGCATCAAATTCAGCAAAATGAGACAGCAGCTACATTGTTTGTTGTTTTTTCCTTATCTATTTGTGTTCAATCCTTACTATCCACATAACACCTATTGCAGGGACAGGGGAAGATGAGGTGCAGCTTTGATGTCCCCCAAGATTATACATTCCCCAATTCTCATTCTCATTTACAATCTCTGTTCTTGAAGTTTATCTAAAGGTCATCTTTGCTATGACTACCATGACTGCTTCAATATTAATGAAGGGAGGAAGGCTGATGCCGCCTGGAGAGAATTTACCATTGTTGCCTTACAGTTGGATGGTTAAAGGGGCTGATGCTGAAGGAACTCCTTTAGGGCATCTAACTGGCCAATGTGGAAATGCTGGGCACCCACCAAATATGGTGCCACCCTGAGTCTATATCCAGAGAGAAAAAAGCATGAGATAATTTTGAAGGACTGTAGTATCGGCTATTCATTCTGACAATTTTACTGTTCAAGTAAGTGCACAGTGTAAAAAAAATGTGCATCATTATTATGATATTGTCCTTGACTGCATTACTATAGATGAGTTCTACAGTACTCTAATGGAGTGAATTAGGTGCTTAGTGAAGAATGAGAAGCAATGCAAATAAGAGAGCTGTTGATCCTTTATCTGGTACTCATCATTAGATTATTGCTTCATAGCTTTCTGCCTGAACGTTATCAAAAGACCACAAGAAAAGAAAAGGAAACCATGAAATGTTTGCTCATTTTCCTGTCAGGGAAATTAATTCTTCATATGTATTTGGGAAGATTTATTTTTGCAATTCCGTACTAAGTTAATGAGATATTACAATTTATTTGCCGGTATGCTATCATATTTAAGGAGATGGTAGAGCAAAGCTTTTTAGCAATAAAACAAGAAAATGATTCAGTTCTCTCTTTTATCCTTGGTATGTACATAGTAATAATACCATGGTAGTCTAGAGGTTTCTGCATTCTTCTTACATGCCTATTGTACACCTTTTACATTATAATCAAAACCCAGTTTTCTTATAATTAAGGAATACAATCATGCAATTTTGGAAAGGGGAAGAAAAATAAGAAACAGCCTTTGTTAAGTCTCTGTTAAATCTCTGAGTTATCCTACACATTTGTTGGAATGTTAACTCCCAATATTTCCATCTATCATTTTTTTTTAATTTAAGTTTATTTATTTATCTTAAGTTTTACAGCATGAAGTACAAAAAAAAAAAAAAAAAATGGGGGGGGGGG